GAAAATTCTTGTACAAACAAAAGTAAAGGTGATAAACTTCAAATATCCTTCTTGCTAACATTTGATGCATTCTAACAAAACTCCCTGTCTTCTAAATTTCTAATAAACATCAACCGTTTTTCCTGGGGGAACATCAAGAATTAAGAGGACTTTTTATCTCGAAGTATTCTCATTAACAAGAAGATTGTCTAAAGTGATAATAGTACATTGACAATGATTTCAGGGACAACTTTGAAAAAATTGATAGAATTTTTCTCTTTCACAAAAGCAATGTGGTGAAGAATGGAAGACTTGAGTTTGGATTTGAAAGTTGTGGGTTTCATTCCAGGTTGTCAAGTGAGTTTGCCATGTTTGATTTATGGTTTCCACATGTATTTTCCATCCATTTGGAGAGATGTGAGTTAAATGAATGGTGGATAGATAATTATATGGAAAAATGAGGGAGTATTGGATAACCTACAAAAGATGAGCAAGTGGTAACAATGTTAAAGTTTAATGAGTATTGATTAAATTTACTATGTGGTTCTTGTTCTAGTTGATGCCAAGTTCCCAAATATGTACAAGGTTTGAAATCTTTGGAATTAATGGGGATTATTGAGTTGAACTTTGTTTGTATCAGGGGAACATTTGGTTTTGTGTATGGACAGCACTGTATAGGACGACTAATAAGATTTTAACTTTCTTTTTTCTTCTTCATTTCTAACCATCATATAGCCATGCAAAATGACTGCAAAAATATAAGTCTTTGATCCTTCCAGAGTCCAGCAAAATTTTGATGCTCGTATAGAAGTCGAAACTGAAACTTGTTGAAAATAACTAGTTACGGTAACTTGCAAAACAGTAAAATACATAAACAAAACTTATCGACTGATTGAGTCTCGTGACAATACAACGTCCTAAAGTGAAATTGTCGGTCAATAACTACTGCGACCTCTGTGGACAATCACTCTCATAATACAATGATTTAACAAACCACTTGCTTTGCAATCACGAATAGTTTTAGAACTCTCATGTGTACTCCAAAAAATACATATAACCGTCTAGTATGAAAATCACAGAATACAATAAATATAATTGTCTCCACCATGATTTAGAAAGATTTACAATTTTTAATGGAATGTTGATAATGAGTTGTTCAAAAATGGTCATATTGTACTGACTAGTTTGACCCATTAAATAATTCCAAAAATGATTAAAATAAATAAAAAAAATATTATTTTAATCAAGAAAGCCCACGAGCTCAAGACTTCAAGGTCCTATCGAAGTCTTTTTTTTTTTTTTTCGTGGGATGTGATCCAAACTCATGACCTCCCACACAAATTTCATACTTTCCACCATTTGAGCACTTCATCTAAACTAGTTATTTCTTCCATATATTATATTTATTGTATAGACATCTAACGGAACTTACATCTGGTTTGTATAAGAATCTGATACGCTCTTCAGTCTTATGAGTTTCTTTTAAATTCAACCAATAAATCTAATGAGTCAAGTTTTGTACAATTAATTTTCTTGTATTTTTATGATTACACTGCCTTCATTGGCTGGTATATGAGAATACTGTGTTGCTGATTAAGTTCAGAAACTGGACTTACCTAGGAAACTTGATATGTATGGTGACTTTGGTTTTGTATTGGCCGTTGAGTATTTTGAATCTTTGCCACTATTATAATATGTCATGCATGTAACAGGATAAAGTTGTAAGTGTTATACCCTAGGTCCAATCAACCTTGGACATAAATACTTTTATTATATAATTAATGCATTGTATGGCAGATCTATTTAATTAATATTCAATTAAATTAAATAGAGTCCGTAGATTCAAAATTTGATAATTTGTTAATCACAAGGAGTTGTGATTGTGAGATACAAACTACATATGATTGAATTTTAAATTGTCCGTAATCGTAAGTAATAACGAGATACGGATATCGTTATTACGGATAGACCATCACGTGTGACATTTCTTACTTATGAAGTAAGTAGCTGATCTCACAATCTAAAGTGTGGTCACACTTAAATTAATACGTGGATATTTTGTTATAGAACAAAATATTGGAGACCCGTCGAGAGATTTCACATGGATCACTATTTGAGTGTCAGTTGTTAATCTCCAACGTTCGGTAGTGGGACTGGTCCTTTAAGTTGAGGTCGTCATAGTGTCTTATATGAGAACAGTCATGCTTTGACGGTGTTGGATGTTGCTCTGTCAAGGGCCGTTAATACGGCATCGTTCGGGTATGTTAAGAATCGTATGAAGATTGTGAATGAACAATAGAGGATTCGTCACTTTTAGATAGTAAAAGATTATAATTTGCATTTCATTCAATTAAGTCGATAATGAAATCCTTGGTCAAGGTGTACTCATAAGTTGAAAATGAATTTTCGACTTATATTGACTTAATAGTGGAGTGGAAGATATGATCAATAATCGAGACTGACACACTTCCATATCTCATAATTGATCGGATCATATTGACGAAGGGATTATAGTTTTACGGTAAACGAATGAGTTTTATTTTGTCATATCACGTGACATTTCCCGTCACATGTATTGCCCTGACACATTGCTAGATGTCAATTTGGGACGGCGAGTGTGAACTGGTGATAAATTAAAAGGGTATTTTAATTTATCAATTTTGATTAGATCAAAATAATATTTCACGTCGTTAGGCATCGTGATTGGGAACCTGATAGGTTGTACATAAAAGAGAATTGGAAGATTGCAATTTGTCAATTAATTAATTTGACAATCGTTGGATAAATTAATTAATTAGGTTGATTACTTATAGGCCCGAATAAATTAATTGGATTAATTGAATATTGGACTGAATCAAGCCAAGCCAGTTTGTGTTTATATAAATAACTAATTAGGGTTTACAATTTTGTAGAGAATTCATTATTCTTGCTAGTATAAGAAGAAAACTCTAATCTTGCAATCTTGTTCTCTGTGTGGATCACCGTTGGAAGTTGGACAATTGGACAGCTGTGAATGACAGATCAAAGTTGCTGAAACAAAAAGAATGGCAAAAGGTTTGCAGAATTTTTAAAGGTATGACTTTTATCATAATTTCTATCTAAACACAAAGGGATCCTTGATGAGAATCGAAATTTGTTTTAATTTTTACTGTGCATGTTTAAGTAGATTCACAACAAAAGTAGCGTCTTGTGTGGCTTGGACATATGCGCACTCATCTGTAGGAGGAAACTGCTCGTGACATTACGATTGGGGTGTTTAGTGTAGCTCACACGAGTTGACTCATAAGTGGAGCTCATGTGGCTGACAATCGATGGGCTCGCCTAGCTGAAAGCAGTCATGAAAGTCACACACCCTAAACCCTAAATCATTGATGTGGGGTGCCATCAATTGAACCCAACGGTGAACAAGTTGAGCGATCCGACTTATTTAACATGCCTACACTACGTATGTGTGTGATAGCGCTGGAACTCGATGGGAGTGTTAATGCTTGTTTGAGAGCGCCGAGAGAGGATGCGAGGATGAGTTGTTAGTGGAAGATTAGGTACACACATACTGACGAAGATATTCAGTTAGGGTAAGAAAGTTAAGCGTACAATTACAACTGTGGAATTAGCTTGACATTTAATTTTCAACTAATTACATCTAATTAAGAGGATTCCATGCGGATGAATATTGCTTTAATTCTTGGCAATTTGTTTGATTTTGAATTTGTGTTTTAGAGCATTAGATTTTTCTCTTTCTCATTATTTTATTTGATTCTATTTTAGTGCCATACACGGGCAAGAACCTTTCTTGGAGCTCTCCCTCCCAATTCATTCATAAGAGGGCCCTTACTCCCCACATGATAGACCATGCATTCTTAATGAAAGTAAAATATATATGAAGATCAATTTTAGACGTTAGTATCTATTCATTAGACATCAATGTTATACAAATTTTAAATTTATCTTTCGAATTGCATAAACAACAATGCATGGAATGTATTATAGATTCTCTTAGACATCAATGTCAAATGAACTATAAGTTTTTCGACTTGCTTGTTACTTAGACTTCAATCTATACATTGCATTTGAGATGTTCCAAGCCTTGACTTACCAATTGAATAAAAAAGCTTCAATATGTCAAATGACAAAGATCTTAGAAATTTAAATAACTTAAAAGCACCAACGAAAAATGACAGGAATCTTATCCTCAAGAAAACATGTATTCTAATTATATAAAAGAACAAAACATGATAAAAAATCAAAAATATTGCTTAATTAGAGATGACAACAATAATCAAAATCAACGATGCTTCCTTTTACTCATCCATTACTCTTAATTTTGTATTTTTATCTTAATACAGCCAAAATGGAATTATTGGAGGTGATCCTGTTTAGGCACGGTTTCCTAGAGAAATGTTTAAAGGGGCCCTCTAAAGTGACACATGTATAGTAATATAACATTCAAACTTTATCTTTGTGGTTGAATTAATAACGTGAGGCGAAAGATAAGTGTTTAGGCTATTCAAACTCAGTGGATATATAATAATTGATTAGGTGCGATTTTTATCTGAGGCAGGTAAAAAAAATTTCTTTAAACCTTACAGAATTGAAGGAGAAGAAATTAAGGAATTAAATTTTTCTAATTGTATTTTCAACTTCGTAATGTACTGTCATTCTAGGTCATTTTGACATAAGGAATTAATAGACTGTGGTATGACTAAGAAAATTTGAAGTATAATTGTTCTGGATTTGGATACATTACCCTTTTGGTTAAAAATTAATAATTAATTTTGGTACGATGTGTAATATTTTTATTTTTGCTGGAAGAACTAGCTCAGGCTCATTGTTAACGACTTGGATTTGAATAAAAATTCTAGAGTTGGAGTGGTTTCCCAATTTCTTAATCATTTTTATGTATTCTGTAGAATCAATGACTTTTTTTTGTTTTCCATCTTTAGGGTTACAATCTCCAAAAAAATAATAATAATAAATTAATTAATTAATGGACAATTAATAACAAATTAATTAGAAGCAAATCAAGAAAATCATACGAGCCTTGTAATATGTTAGTTCTAAACAACTCCATACAATTATTAATCAACCATGTAAAGGAACAAAGAAATCGACAGAAAAATAAAGATGAAAAAAGTGCCTGTGCTTGTTCTTCTTTTCACCAAGATCCTCCACCTAACATTCCATTCCAGTATCCATTTGAATTATCATGTCCCTTGTTGATCTGATTATTGACTTCATCTGTGCCCGAATGACGTTGAAACATAAGCCTTCCATCAAAGGAAAAACCAATGGCTGCAGGTTTGCATTCTTGAACTGGAAAACCTGATACAAGAAGTGCATTAGTTTCCACATTTGATGTGGGGAAAATGGAACTCATTCCCTTTGAGGCTATTCCAGTCCTCAGCAAGTCTAGGGCCGAATCCGGATTCGAAGATGAAGAGTTGATGTTACTGCTGTTCTCAATCTTAGTGTATTCAAGAAAATGAGGAATAGTACCGTGATAGTACTCTTGTGGAGCTGCAGGAAAAGCTAGGTTTACCGAATGACGTTGAAACATAAGCCTTCCATCAAAGGAAAAACCAATGGCTGCAGGTTTGCATTCTTGAACTGGAAAACCTGATACAAGAAGTGCATTAGTTTCCACATTTGATGTGGGGAAAATGGAACTCATTCCCTTTGAGGCTATTCCAGTCCTCAGCAAGTCTAGGGCCGAATCCGGATTCGAAGATGAAGAGTTGATGTTACTGCTGTTCTCAATCTTAGTATATTCAAGAAAATGAGGAATAGTACCGTGATAGTACTCTTGTGGAGCTGCAGGAAAAGCTAGGTTTAGATCTTGCCTATTAGGGTTTTGATCAGAAAACTGAGAGATAATTGGAGGGTTCAGATCAACAAGTTTATTATGGGGAGAAACTGATGTTGATATTGATAATGATGATGATGACAATGATGATGAACTAAATGTAGACTTCTTGTTCTTTCTCGAACCGCCTCCCACTGGAACATTTCTGAGGGTGCCACCTTCAGTCCAGTACCTTCTGCACGTCTTGCAGAAGTATCTTGGTTGAGTAAGACTGTAATTATTGTAGTAACAAAACTTCGTGTTCGTCGAATGACACCTTGGACAGTTGAGGGCTTGTTCATTTTGTGGCCTCACTTTTTTCTCCACTAATGGCCTTGAGCATGTATTTTCAGTTATTTCTGGCATGGATTTTTCCACTCCTATTTCCTGAAATCGAAAGGAAAATCAAGCTAAAATCTTGTTTATTATATTGTTCAGTACTGTCTTATTTGGCTGAGTACTGAACGTATAGTTAGAAAAAACTATGACAAAGAGAAGACTAGGTAACTTTGATTTTGAAAATTCCCTATCGAAAGTAGAAAGATGTAACAAATTAAGAATAACAAAGAAAGAAAACCTTTTTTTCCGAATCATAATATAGATTCAAAATTGGAAGAATCAAAAGTACAGTGCTAATTTCATCCACTGATAAAACTATTTGAAACTTCATTTACAGTACTTCAAAGAAAAAGGAAATGAGGCAAGAAGACAAGCAGAGTAAAAGGGAAAGCACATAAAGGATTTCCAGTTTAAATTTCATTAATTTGTATGATATACACAATTCAGCACCGCGCGCACGCACACACACACATATATACACACACACACACACACAGCCTTCTTCTACATCTCTGAAAAAAGAAAAAGGGGAAAACTGCAAGAGACTGTTGAGAAATATCGAGAAGTCTATGCACCTGCGTCCAGCGAGAAGTATCCATGAATTCGTCCGAAGAAAAAAGTTTCGAAAAGGCAAGTGGAAGTTCTCAAGTTAGAGAATTCAGCTTCTTTATCTGCTGCTGTTTTTTATGCAAGAAAAGAACGTTTTGAGTTGTTTGTGTTGGCTTTACTTTGGCCCCGTATGGCATGGTTTCGAAAGGCCAAAACGACTTTTTGACACTCAAAAGTTGTTAATGGATTTATTTGGCTAATTTTGTTAAAGTGCTTTTAATAATTAGAAGAATTTTTAGAAAAATTTGGTGCAACGTGGCTTCTTCTGGAAGCACTTTCGGAATGAAAAGCGCTTTTAAATATTAGTTTCCAAACAAAAATTAGCCCCTATTTGAGCCCCCTTTTTTGAAAATGCATTTTTTCAAAACTCATTTTTAACGACACATTTTTCTATAAAACAATCATACACGTATTTGAAATTTTTTTCAGAATATCGCTATTTCATAATGCATTTATCCCAAAAATGGGGATCAAACAGGGGCTTAAGGTAGTTTCCTCCAAAATCTTTTTTACAAGAAGTAAAAGTAAAAGCAATGTCAAACGGACCATTTATGGATGATGGTATCAGGAAAAGAGATGGAGGGATTGTGTTAGTTTTGACTGCACTAATCACACTCCATATTTTATTTTGGGACCGCGCTTCACATACAAGGAGCATTTTACAGAGCTCGACCAGGGCAGACACGAGGTCGGGTGCCCGTACAATTTTTTTTTTTTTTTTTTAATGCAGGTCGGTCCCACCGACCTGCACTACAGTGAAGGGGCCTGTAAGCCTCCTGTAGAACAATGCTCTGTACGTAGGACATTGTTCTTTATTTTCTTTGTGTTTGAACCTTTGTCTCAAATGATTGAGCTGTTTGTACAGGGACCAGTTTTACAGGTGCTGCACTAGCAACACGTGTATGGCTAGTTTTTTATGCTTTTGCCCAACAGCCAATGAGAATTTGCCAAGTGAAAATCTTTACAATACCCCGTAAAAAATTCCTTGTACACAACAATTCTTTGTCTCAACATACATATATTTTAGAGAAATTAAGCAAACAATCCCAAGTCGGCTAAAGATAAAAGTAAATTAAAGGAATGAGATACTCAGCACGTTAACCTTTGGAGGTCAACCCTAATTGGTAGAGGTGATATCACTTAAATATATTCGTTATCATAAGAAATTTTAATTCTCTTGTGAGTGCAACTATGAATGTATATATACTTATATATTGTGGTGGGTTTCTGCTTTTTGACTCAAGAGTAATGGAGGAATTATAGATTCTTAATTTATTGTCATCTGATCCCACTGAAGTCTTTTTTGCTTATGTCCAATTCCAAGGTATTTTAGTCTAGGGTTTGGTTTCTTTGTGTAACTTGATTAATATAAAGTGCTTGTTCGACAAAATTTTATCTACATTTTAACTAGTTAAACTACGAGTTTTAAGACACATTTTATATAATCCACAACTTTTATCAATTTTTAAATTATACTCATCAATATTTATTAAAATCTACTAAAACTTTTACTATTAGAGGTGAAACTACCCAAAAATGAAATGTCAAAACAAGCTCCTTTTTCTTTAATAAGAAGAATTTTTTTTATGAAAGATGCATTGCCTTTAAAAATGAAATCCATCTCTCAAAATGATGCTCTCCCAAGACTTGAAGAAGAAAAGCATATGAAACAAATTATCTGGGTTTCGGATGTGACAAATCTCTGTATCTAATGTTTGCATAAGACCATTTGTTTATGTACTTATTATGTTGAATTTGTGGGACGGTAATAGTACAACCTCGATCTAGAATATTAATTAGCAATAAATATATTCAAATATCTACTTCTCTATGTCTATTAGACATTACAAAATTATTGATTAATTTGATTTCAGCTCATTGAAATAGGGATAAGAAAGAGATAATTTTGCATACATAATCTAAAATGACATGGGTTAGAAAGGAAAGTGTAATCACTACACAGCATCTTAACTTTTCATGATGTTGCCAAAGCTCTAATTACACCATCTTTCTTTTTTGCTTTTTTGACTGTCTTTTCTAATAAAAGTCTTAAAGGGTTTAATTTTGAATGTTCAGACTCATCATCATATTGCGAAATCTAAATATTATAATATGTGTACTTCTGAGGAAATCATTTTTTTTATGGGATAATTTGCTTGAGTGTTTCAAGAAATATATAGGAGCATTTATTCAAATAGTTACCTTATTTTCTAACTAAAAACATTCCTATAGCTAGATTTCTGGGCAGTTTTTGTTTGACATGGTTTTATACCAAATTATTAATAGTGAAACATGAAATGCTGAAGATTTAGGGGGTATAAAGAACCTAACTTTCTGTAAGTCAAAATAATGAAGAAACAGAAGTCTAATGACCTATGAACTTTTAGGGATCTTATTAACTATAGGTGCAAGTGGAAAAGTTCAGAAAAAGCAAAAATAGGGGGAAAAAATAAAGAAACTTTTTAATGAAGAAGATGAGTGCGCATGTTGAGAGTAGGGGTAGGGTAAAAGTGGATAGAGAGAGGACAAGAGGCGGACTAAAAGAGGTGAGATGGGTGCCCAAATAATGCGTTATAGAATTGAAGATGCGACATTTGATGGGGACGCAATGGCCCATTTGAATTTTTTCAACTGCCACACTTAAAGCTCTCTCAATATCTCTATTTATAGGTTTTCAAATGGTTTTGGATAGGATTAACAAGTCCTCTTGCATACTTTAATTACGAGTTCGTGAGATAGATTAATATTACTTTGAATAAATCATTTAGGATGGTGTAAGAGTTAAGTCACTTGTATATTGATTTTGTACACTCAAATTGACATCTCTAGTCATTGATTTGCATAATAATTATTACTTATTCAAATTAATGGCCGAATTGTCTATCACATCATGAGATGTCACGCAAAGTGCCAAAGTAGATGTATATGTAATATAGCCCCTGTTTGGCTCCTATTATGTAGAAAAACTAATGAGTGGAATAGTATTTTTTTGAAAAATAAGTGGTTGAAAAAGAAGGAAAATTTTTTGATTTACGTATAATATTATTTTATGGAAGATTGTGTGGTTGAAAATAGGAGAAAGAAAAATGAAATGTAATGTAATGAAAATTAATGGGGTTCAAACGGAGGCATAATTGGTATTGTAAAGCCTTGCACCATATATAAAGTGGAAGTCATGAGGCTTGCACGAATAAAAATCTGTAGAGAGGATATAATAAATATTGAAAATGTAAAAATCGTCATACTTCTTTGTTTCTATATCTCTTTTACTTACTACTATTGAGAATAAGAAAACATAATATACCACCAAACCGATACAATTGTAGAAGAAAATAGATAAAAGAACACGGAAGATTTATAGAAATTCACCTTAATGTAAAACTACGTCATCTTCCATCACTACAGTGATTTATTGTATGCATGATAAAATTGCTCACCATATCTTTAATCCCTCTCTTCTTTTTATGGTAATAGAAAACCCTAATGACAACCCCTATTTATAAGATAAATTAAAGTAAAATCGATATTACAAATGTCAAATTTCTAAAATGTCCTTAATGAAATTTTGATCAACCCCCATGGAAATCCACGGTTTGGCTTCGCACAACAACAACTTAGGCTCCAAAGACTATCCACCATCAGTGACTCCTCTACAACAACACACAACTCGGAAATCCTCAAAAGAAAAGTCCAACTAAAGTTGCACACATTTTCAATTTCTAGATCGAAATTGTCTTCATTAGCTTGTCGCCTAATTCTTACTCTATTGAATCTTCTCAGATTCCATCTTTTAAAGTCGATCTAATTAAGTGATAATTGACATGTATATGCTTCGTCCATGCATGATAAACATGATTATTTGCTAAGTAAATAGCACTCTAACTATCACAATACAACACACTCTTACTATACTTGTTACCCAATTCTTCTAAAGAAGATTTTAACAATATAATCTCTTTTCTAGCTGTAAGTGTTATGCCCTAAATCCAATCGATTTAGGTTGTAAACGCTTTTAATATGTTTAATGTATTTAATTTTGACGAGATCTATTATTTATTTAAATTAATTTTGTGATAAATAATATTAAATAATAGAATCCGAAAATCCAAGTTTAAATGATTTGTTAATCACAAGGAGTTGTGATTGTGAGATACAAATTACATATAATTGGATCTTGAATAAACCGTGGTCGTAAGTAATAACGAGATACGGATATCGTTAATACAGTTAGACCATCACGTGTGGCATTTCTTACTTGTGAAGTAAGTAGCTGATCTCACGAGCTAAAGTGTGGTGACACTTAAATGAACACGTGGATGTTTTGTTATAGAACAAAACATTGGAGACCCGCTAAGAGATTTCACATGGATAACTATCTGAGTGTTAGTGATTAATCTCTAACGTTCGGTAATGAAATTGATCCTACAACTTGAGGTCATCATAGTACCTTATATGAGGACAGTCATATTTTGACGGTATTGGATGTTATTCTGCCAAGGGCCGCTAATACGACATCATTCGGGTATGTCAAGAACCATATGAAAGTTGTGAATGATCAATAGAGGATTCGTCACTCTTAGATAGTAAGAGATTGTGATCTGCATTTCGTTCAATTAAGTCAATAACGAAATCCTTCAGCCCATTTGAATTTTTTCAACTGCCACACTTAAAGCTCTCTCAATATCTCTATTTATAGGTTTTCAAATGGTTTTGGATAGGATGAACAAGTCCTCTTGCATACTTTAATTACGAGTCCGTGAGATAGATTAATATTACTTTGAATAAATCATTTAGGATGGTGTAAGAATTAAGTCACTTGTATATTGATTTTGTACACTCAAATTGACATCTCTAGTCATTGATTTGCATAATAATTATTACTTATTCAAATTAATGGCCGAATTGTCTATCACATCATGAGATGTCACGCAAAGTGCCAAAGTAGATGTATATGTAATATAGCCCCTGTTTGGCTCCTATTATGTAGAAAAACTAATGAGTGGAATAGTATTTTTTTGAAAAATAAGTGGTTGAAAAAGAAGGAAAATTTTTTGATTTACGTATAATATTATTTTATGGAAGATTGTGTGGTTGAAAATAGGAGAAAGAAAAATGAAATGTAA